TTTAGGCGATAATTGCCTCCAGAAGAAAACCGAACAAGCCAGAAACTCTCCGTATCCTAAGAATTAGGAGTGTTTAGTAATAATTTGCTCCATACTGTAAATCTAAGTTGCTCGCTCCACAACGGTACCACAAGCTTGGCGAAAAACAAGGAAGCAAGGGAATCATTAACGATCAGTGTGCACATCTTTTTGGGACATTCTGCAAAGTAAATTGATCTTTTCGTATCATCAACTTTTCTCGTTTGAATTCAATGGCAGAGACCACTCTTCAACTCACTTTTAGACGGCACAGTGCATTGGTCGTCTTCAAAAGGCATAGACAAGTCAAAGGACACCACTCAGTATTTCTATCAGCCACGACCCGTTGATGTGGAAACCACTGGCTACGTTCTGCTGAGTTACATGCTCGACGCTGAAACAGAAAAGGTAGACATTTTTTCAAAATCTATTTTCTCTAGTGTAGGTTCAGCATTATCACTCTCATGCAAAACTTGCATTAGAAGCAGAAATTATGTTTGACAGGAAAATTTTCGAAGGTTTCTTGTACAATAGAATAGTAGTGTCAGCCTAACCTTAGTTCCTGTTCTGCGGTCTGAGTCGCTCTCTATATGCACGTGTGCAATATCATAGTTACAGTATTAGTTGTAAATTCGTTTGACTGTCCACACAACATTTACATTCAGGGTCTTCCTCTAGTTCGCTGGCTTACCGCCCAAAGAAACGCCTACGGTGGATTCTCATCTACCCAAGACACTGTGATTGCTTTGCAAGCTCTTGGAAGTTATGCTGAGCACGCATATTCGAGCGACTCAAATGTGACGGTCACCGTCGGCAACGGTGCCGACAATCAAGCATTCGGTGTTTCTGTAAGGAATGCTATCGTTCTGCAGAGCTACGAGGTTTGATGCTCATTTAATAGGAGGAAGAGATCCTTCATCCTTTCTGAATGTGGCAATTTTAGCTGCCACATATCGACTCAAACGTTGACATCAAGGCTACGGGAAAGGGAACGGTCTTTGCTCAGGTATAGCTCTATTTTGATTTCTTTCTCGTGCCTTTATAGGGATACAAAGATAAAGTTGTCGAAAATTTTGCTGATACCTCAGGTTTCGTACTCGTACCATCGCAACTCTCTTCGTGACGATTCACCATTCTTCTGCTCAAAAGACTTGAAAGAACTACGCAATGGCAACAGAATGCAGTTGGATCTCTGTTGCAAGTAATATTTTTAGAGAATACCTGTAGTAAGGCTGCACATTTGGACCGTCTTTTCAGCTACACACGAACTGCCGGCAAGTCCAATATGGCGGTTGCAGAAGTGGAAGCTTTGACAGGATATAAGTACGGCTTCACGGATTTGGCGTCTCTTACTGCACACACAGCTAATCATGATCGTTTCCAGATTTGATGAAGAGGAGATGGGTAAGCTGACGGGAATTTCTGATTTGCAACGAGTTGAGCTTGACCACGACGACACGAAAATGAACATTTACTTCAATCCAGTAAGTCTTCATAACTCTCAAAATAGTATCAGTAGTAACTGTGAGTATCTATCAGTAGTAAGTATATCTATGTAGTATCACATGCAGCAAAGAACTCATACGTTAAAGCAACTTCACTCACCTTTTTGAATTTTTGAAACGAAGTAAATGTTTACGACTACGGACAAAGGGTCAAGAATCGATTCAAAACTGCCGATAGGCTACAAAGTAGAAGGAAAGATGCCTAAGCTCTTCAATTCTTTTTTTGGCAATTGTGACGATATTGAGGCTTTGGAGAGTATGAAGAGC